AATGAAATAAAATACACGTTTATTATGATCTACGTGATGCATTTTCATTGTAACAAATAGGCCTACTCAACGAAGTAAAATAAATTTTTTTGCCTGTGTACCGTCCAGTTATCTTTTCAGTTGGCTAGCTTTTTCAGCAATAGAACTTTTGATTCTATTGCAGTCTCTTATCTTCACGGTTGATTAGCGTAGTTAGTAGTAGTAGAGTAATATGCTCAACAAGTGGACATACAAGGAACAATGAAGCATACAAAATACGAGTAGTAAATGCTCATTTGGTGTACACCCTTATTTTCAGTGTTCCAGTTGATTGATAAATGACCAATTTCCAAATTCTTCAAAACTGACTTGACAGTGCCCCGTTAAACAAGTTACTCGTAATAGAAGTTTGGTTATTATTTCTGTCTCACGTAATTTCCAGTCTCTCGCGTCACACAAATATACACAGCATGGAATCCACGTCACGGTCATAAAAGCCAACTCAGAAATCGACACGAACGTATGTTCTGGGCTCTAGTTAAATCTGGGCCCAGCAATTCAAATTATACTACTTTTTTTTGTAAAATTTACTATGTTGTTTTTATCATCACGAAGCTTATGTTATCTTGACAATGTTGTTTGCCCTGAGCTGTTATCAAGTCCTATTTGCAGGACCTACCATTTTGTTTTTGTCGCTGTACACAAGTGTGTCAGCTATAACAATCGAGTAATAAGAGTGAAGCACGGGTCCTTACGAGCTTTTACTTCTATTTCTTGTCACCCTCTATGGATATGTTTTCATTTAAAAACCCGAGAGTTGCAGTACGACTGTGTTTCGTAAGAACGTACTTCAAGCAATTTGTAGTACACTACTAGTGTGAAGAGTTTATTTAGATGTTTAAATTTTATCCAGTATATTGTATTTTTACGGTAGAAGTAACAGCCACTACCACAGTTGCATGGCTTGTGCACGTGGTGATTTGGAATGCTGTAGGTACTGTGCTATCCAAAGAAAAGTTAACAGGTGTCGGTATTTTTGAGAAGTTTAATTTGTGTTTTTCGACAGAACGGAATATTTTTCTTCTGCCAAACGAAAAAGTGGACAATTCGCAAATATTGCAATGCTGCGGCCGCAAGCGAAATGCTTCACTCTTATCTGAAAACGACGTAGCTCAGGATAGGGTCCGATGGCGGGCTTTTGTTCGGGTTCCATAATGAAAGTGGGCTGCTTTTTAACAAGCCAAGTAACAGTGGACTTTTCAAAGAATATCCTGCACCATAGAAAGCGATAGAGAGAAGCAATTGTGTAATCTTAATGCAAATAAATAGTTCCCAAGTTAATGTTATCATCAGACTGCTTTTGGTTGAAAAGATTGATTTTATTTATTTATTTATTTAACAACGCTGTCAGTAGCTCAGACTAATTGTAAAGTATATACGTATAAGGAAGTGGTCGTGGCCTAGTTTAAGGTACTATTCCATTATTTAACTATAATAGAAGAGACGCCAGGATAGCCTGCCTCTGATCCAAAATTCGATCTCTGGACCTCCCGAATACGAAGGAGAAATGCTAACACTCTGCCGCAGTTTTCAGTGAAATAACTCCATTGTGAATAGGATTCTGTTTGATGTTCTGCTCACAGCTGTCTCTTATAGTAACATCATTTCTGTTCGTGGAGAAAAAAGTTCTAACCGTGACCATTTCAGAGTATTTAAAGTACCTGAAAACCTACTTTTAATAGGATATTTTCTATTTTATTATACCATGTTTAATGTGTTGTACATCTGCAAATAAGGTTTGTAAACGGATTTGAAAAAAGTAAACTTTATAAAGAATTTTTATTTAGGTATAAAACTTTTTGGAGGGATTACATTATAAATTAACATTTGTTTCTTTGTGACGTGACCCTACTGCAAATTAGATAGATTCTATTATATTGTTGTTACCAGAGTATTACGAGGTTTTTTAGGGTAGTGGATAACCTTTCAGTGTTACATGAAAAAATGAAGGTTATTCTTCTCTGCAGCAGTGAATGCAAATTAAAACTATCAGTACTTCTGAAGGTGCGAGCCGGCGTAGCTCAGTCGGTATAGTGACTGGCTACGGACTGGGCGACCACCAGGGTTCGATCCCCGATGGGGGCAGAGGATTTTTCCTCTAGCCTCTGCGTCCAGACCGGTTCTGGGGCCCACCCAGCCTCCTATCCAATGGGTACCGAGGTTCTTTCCCGGGGGTAAAGCACGGCCGAGGTGTGATGCTGATCACTTACCCCCATCTAGTGCCGAGGTCAAGGAAGAGAAGAGCTATACCTCCACTCACCCCAAGCGCCTACATGGCGTATAGTGGGACTGTTTTACTTTACTTCTGAAGGTGTATGAACTTTCCGGGGAAAGCAATCTCTAATAATTATTAATATATTACACCTGTAATATTTTAGTGACTGCATATGGTCATAGGGGAAGAGGGATTTTTTATTATATTAGGGTAGGAAGCAGAAAAGTAGCCTAAGTCTAACACGTTGTGTTTATTATATGCAGAGACTAAAATGGTAGAGAAATAATGAGTTGGATATTGGAATATTTGATTGATACTAGTGCAGTCTTTTATGTCATCTGATGACAGAGTATTAAACCGCTAGCAACATCAGACAGAGGTTACAAGATGTTGATGAAGTACGTATGACCTGAAGATCATGGGTGGAAAGATGAAAGGCACACACAAGTTTGGTTCGTAAAAAGTCGGTGGTACAAGTCTCATAGGACACCAAGAAGATGTGAACTATATTGAACTTCTGTTTCTCTTTACTTTGCGCTGACATC